ACTCCCTCATTTACTCTGATCCTTGGAGGTTTTCCCCTCGTTCTTGTTCTACTCCCCTGTCCTGCTTGATCCTAGGCCCTCAGGAGATGGACATGGCCCTCAGAAGCCGGTCCTTCAGGAGTCTTATCCCACCTCTGTGATCCCCAGATTCTCTGCTCTGTGGAGGTACCACCCACCCTCCCTGACTCTCAAGGCTGGCCCCACCCCTTCCAGAATCCTTGCCCACACGACCCCCTTGTCCTGCCCCTACTTTTCAGGATCCCAAGCCCTACCCCTCATTCCTCCTGTCCTTTTAACATCACCTGGTCCTGGCCTCTGATACTCCCCTGGGAATGGAGGTGAGGATGTGAGCATATCTGTGGCCTGATCTCCATCTCCACTGCTCCTCCTTGGGAATCCTGAGACTTGAATAGCCTTGGAGAGGGCGCCTGGGTGGCTCAGATGGTTAAGCGTCTGCCTTCGGCTCAGGTCATGATCCCAGGGTCCTGGGATCGAGTCCCGCATCGGGCTCTCTGCTCCTTGGGAGCCTGCTTCTCCCTCTGTCTCTCTCTCTCTGTCTCTCATGAATAAATAAATAAAAATCTTTAAAAAAAAAAATAGCCTTGGAGACCTGTGCCTATTTCCTCTCAGCAATGCCACTTACTAGTTTAGTGGACTTGGGAGCTCACCCTACCTCTCTGTGCCTCGATTTCCGCATCTATAAAATGGGACGAGTGACCTCCACCTCAGAGGGTTGTTAGAGGATGCAGTGCTATAATGCACATAAAGGACTCTGCTTGGAGCCTGGCACATGGTTAGCACCCCAGAGTTAGTGGCTTTTCCCTATTCCTTGAGAGCCACTTCCTCAGACCTGGTCCTGCTGGATTGTTTCCCATTTTTGTTTAGGAGATGGGTCAACTCACGAGGTGGTATGTGTGGTAACTTAGAGTACAGATTCTGGAGCCAAACTGCCCAGCTGGCATGCCCCCAGCTCTGCCACTTTACCGTCTGTCCAGCCTGGGCAAGTTACTTAATCTCTGCACCTCAGTTTCCTTAGCTGTAACGTACGAATGATACTAGTACTTAAAGCAGTGCCCAGCACTCGTGGTGAACTAGCTAGCGCCACACCGCTTGTCTTTCCATGGGGACAAGTCTCAGGAGCCACTGAGGAAGTCCTCTGCCCAGGAGGGCCGGCTTATTCTTACAGAGGGGGTCTTGAGGAAATTCCCCACTTGGGAGTCCTGCTCCGTCATGAGACTGTTATTTCCAAGATTTTTCTGGCTGTTTCTGAGTTTCCCGGAGGCCAGAGGAGGGGAGCGTGGGGGTGGGGGCTTACCGAGAAATCGAACACGAGCTGATGAAAATATGATCAAAACCGTATGGGGCTGGCTCTTACCAAACACTTACCCATGCAACAGAGGCAGTCCCAATGTCTTGAGAACTGGATGTGCTCCAGGTATGAGTTGGGCGGGGCATCGTGGGAAAGGGCCGTTTTCAGTTACATTTTTTATTAATCAGATGAGTTCTGGGGCTTGTTTTGTGCCAACCCCAGAGCGGAGCAGGGTTGGCAATGAAGACGAACAGGTCCAATCCCTTTCTCTGAGAACTCTATCAGTAGACAGGACAGGGAGTTTGTTGTCCATCCTGTAGATGGGAGCCGGGAGCTCTCTGAGCAGCGATGTCAGGTCCCTTTAGGGAGAGGTTGGCTGCTGGGGCCTTAGGCCTTCAGGGTAGGGAGTTTTCACTCAGCTGTTGGCCTTAAACCGGTAGCAGGCGCTGTGTGCCCTAGACAGGGTGTCTTCTCAGAGGCGGGCAGCAAGGCCCCTGCATTCTGGTTGGGGAGCCAGAAGTCCACACCCTCCCTTGGAGAAGGTGGCAGCCTCATCATTGTCAGGTAGGCAGGTCGGCCTCTGGCCTGCCAGAACTCAGGATAGCGACACACCCTTGTCAGTAAATCATAGTAAAACAGGGAGCAGGTGTGATTACATAAAGTCACAGTGCTGAGAATGTTTAAGTGGGTAGGGACAAGTCACAGATTGCTGGGCTAAGCCCTCATGTATGTGGCAGGGAGAGAAGAGGCTAGGACCCAGTGCCCAGGAGGGGTTGGTGGCTGGGGATGGGAAGGCACGGGCTGGAGAAGGGGTAGGGAGGGCTAAATGCCTGCTTTCTGTGGTACTCGGGTGTCCACCTCCTCAGACTTTCTTGAAATTCTTTATTCCCCAGGCCTCCAGGGTCTGGCCAGCGGCTGTTCGATCCAAGCCCCTTCACTAGCTCCTGAATTATTTTCTCTCTTCCTGAGTCTTAGTTCTTGCTTTGTCCCAGAGGGTGGTCCCTGAGGCCCCAAGAAGTAGGGACATTTCTGAAGGTGCATGACTTGGGGAGCCTGTGTGAATGCTGGGGGTTTAGCCTGAGACCCAAAGATTCATGAGTCAAATCTTTGGAGGGACTCTTAAAAATTAAGCACCTGTCCCCGTACACCTGACTGATGGGGAACTAAGGTTTTGGAGATGGGGAGTAAGGAAGAGACTTGCCTGGAGCGGCTCAGTGAAGTGCCGAAGCAGGGCTGAGGGCTGGGCACTGAGCTCAGGACTTGTTCCTGTAGCCCCCTCAGCGGTGTGGCAGGGAGGTAGCATCCAGGGCTTCTGTCATGGTAGCATCTTCCTCAGGGCTCCTGCCCTCGCTCCCCTACTCTGTCTGGGGTTTTCCCCCAAGAGTCCGAAGGGAGGTTTTCTGTCTTCCTCTGTGGCAGGCTGACTTCCACTTGGCTTCCCTGGGAACTGAGAAGGAGTTGAAGCAATGTGCCCCTCACGCCTGTGTTTGTCCTCTGCCTGCTGGGGCACCCTGGGCACTGGATCCCTGAGACACCTGTCTGTAGCTGGGCCCCCGGGGGCTCCATGGTTGGCTGCCTTAATGGATGAATTAATGGATGGATGAGTAGATGGGTGGAGGAGCAGATGGATGGATGGCAGTCTAATGGGTGCAGAGATGGCGAAATGGATGGGTGCACAGGGGCACGAGTCAGATGGCTCATTTCCTCCAGGCAGCAGGGCCACACTTCCCAGCTGTAACAGTTGTTCTTGCATCCCACCCACTCCTGGGGCTCTAGGAGATGGGATATCTGAGATTTTGAATACCTTACTTCTGGGAGCAGAGGGGAGAAGGAAGCTGCTATGCACTCAGCTCCGTGAGGAGGGGCTGGCATAACCCCCTCACCACTGCTCCCCTTCCCAGACTGCCCAGGCCTGGCTTTGTTATCAGATGAGGTATAGCTGGTAAATGATGACCCCCTCCCTTCCCAGGTAACAATGCTCAGTCCGCTGTCACAGCTGGCATCCAACCCCAGTGCCACAGTCTTGCAGCTCTCAGTGGGACAGGCCCTTAGAGGCCCAAGTGGGAGACCAGCAGCTTCCCCAGGGGACTTCCCAGGCGTGAGGAGTTCACTCCTTCCAGAGCAGCCCTGTGATATGCTGCAAGAGTCACAGCGCTTTCATCTCCCGAAGGGGAGACTCCTTCTCTGTAACTCCCTGATCTTAGTGTTGCCTTGGCCCAGGTGCCCACAGGGGCTGCAGGGCTGGTGGTGGGGTTCCTCCATGCTAAATCTCCCTAGCTCCCTGGCCGCTCCTCCTTCCACCCTCTGGGCCCTCTTCCATTCTGCCTTCTGGCTCCCAGGTCTACCTGTCAGTATCTCTGACAAGTGTGGCCCCAGGATTGCTCAGATGGGGCTGGACCTGGCCCAGCCTGACTGAGTGAGAGAGGAAGGCTAGCCTGAAGGTCACATTCTGTGTGGACAGATGGGCCCTCACCACTGGCTACTGAGCCTTTCCTCACATATGTACTCATTTTCTATTTTTTTAAAAAATATTTTTATTTATTTATTTGACAGAGAGAGAACACAAGCAGGGGGGTGGGGGAGGGAGAAGCAGGCTTCCCGCCGAGCGGGGAACCCGATGCGGGGCTCAATCCCAGGACCCCGGGATCATGACCTGAGCCGAAGGCAGCCGCTTAACCGACTGAGCCACCCAGGTGCCCCGCATCTTTGCATTTTTTAGTATCTTTTCCATGTCTCTGGTTGTATCTTCTCCTCATTCCTTTTATTTTTTTAAAGATTTTTTTTAAAAGATTTTATTTATTTATTTGACAGAGAGAGACAAAGTGAGAGAGGGAACACAAGCAGGGGGAGTGGGAGAGGGAGAAGCCGGCCTCCCATGCAGCAGGGAGCCCAATGTGGGACTCGATCCCAGGACCCCGGGATCATGACCTGAGCCGAAGGCAGACGCCCAACGACTGAGCCACCCAGGTGCCCTGTACTCATTTTCTAGACAAATATTTATTGAGTGACTACTTTGTGCCAGGCAATGAGACCACCAGGGAGACAGTGGAAACCAAAATAGATGTGATCCCTCTTGAGGAAGGCTGACAAACTATCAGTTATAACTCAGTGTGATGAGAGCTGCAAGGGGAGAGGGGCAAGGGCCCTGGGAGTTTGGGAGGGAGGGAGGCTACTTAATCTAGCCTTGAGTCAGGGGAGGCTTCCTGGAGGAAGAGTCATCAAGACCCAGATGGGAAGGCAGGTGAGCTGGTGAGAGAGAAGAGTGTTCCAGACAGAGGGAATGGCGGGGGTGGATGGGTACTTTCCCCGCTCCTGGCAATAGAGCTGGGTCTCTTCTTGCCCCCAGTCAGGAAAGCTGGTTCTTGACAACTCCCTTCCCCCTGGTGACACCTGATCCCTGAGACACCTGGATACCTTGCCTTGGAGAAGAAAGACTGGGAGGCATGAAAGAGTTTGGCTCAATCAGAGAACAGGCACAGGTTTGGTATTGTTGAACCGTGGAGAATGAGAGGGCTATGAGGAGACCAGGTGGGGCTCCGATCATGGGAACTGGTCCTGAGAACACAGGGCGTTAAGTAGGGGTCCATGAGGAGGTTGCTCAGGTTGCAGAGGGAAAATGAGATCTGCCATTCCATCTCCCCATTTCCTATTCTGGTCCTTCCGGACAGACAACAAAGAGCAGACAGACAGATCCGTGGGTACCAGTCGGGCTTTATTGGAAGCATTGTGGTCTGGGTGTAGAGAAGAAGCTGCACTCCTGCTACGCCACACTCACCCCTGCTCACACTCACACTCACACTCACACTCACACTCACACTCCAGGCCCCGTCCCGGCTGGGTCAGGTCTGGTGCAGAGTCGCTGGAGGCCTGGTCCTCCCTTCTGATCCTTGGTTCCCCAGGGCTGCAGTGAGTCACATCCCTTCACTCAGACACAGGGCTCCCTCCGGGGCTGTCAGGGGCTAACTACTGTGGCGTTTGTTCTAGGGGAGGAAGGAGAGGCAGGGTCATGGGTTAGGGTCTGGGGCAGGGGCTCTGAGGGAGGAGGCAGGGCTGGGGAGGGCCGGGCTTGCCTTTGCAGAGTTCTTCAGCAGTCTCCGGATGATGCGGTCCACCCAGGGCTGGTCTGGAGGTGCGCAGAGCTGGTGACCCCTCAGTGTGGTGAACCTGGAGTCAGAGGTCAGAGGTCAGAGAGAATGTAGCCCTGGAACCCAGCCTCCTGGCAGGCTCTTGGTGTGAGGGGCAGAGGCTGGGGACCACATCTGGGAACCCGTTTCAGGGGCTTCCTTGAAGAGGCTGGGCTTGGCAAGGAGAAGGCAGATAGGAAGGTGGGGTATCACCGGTGGCTGATGGGGGAGATGAGGCTACACGAGGTCCTCCCACAACTCACACAACAGCAGGCACTCTACAGCCGTCCTTGATGAGGAGGTGGCGAAAGGCTCTGACGATGTTCCCTGGGATGGGGCGCTGGGTTACAGACAGGCAGCAGTCTTCAGCGTCGTTGGCACCACCCAGAGCTGGGGTGCGGGTGGGAGAAAGAAGGTAGGTGTCAGGACACCCTGAGGAGGGGAGGCCACGGCCCTGTGGCCCTAAGTGGGATGAAGGACAAGTGTGTGTGTGTGTTTGGGGAGGGGGGCGTTAAACCTGTTAGTCAGCCGGTATGTTTGCTAAATATATTGAAGTACTTCTAAGCTGTTTGGTAAACAGCCGCTGCCCTGGTCACCCCAACCTCTCCCCTAGGACCTCTCAACTGCTGCATAAATGAAGAGTTGATGCTGTTCACAGCATGGGGTTGGGGAGGAGAGCCGAGGAGTGAGGGGTAGGGTAGTAGGAGACTGGGGTTAGAGAAGTTATGAATTGTTAAATATTTGGACTATTAGCCCTGTCTCAGCATCTCCCTTTTTCCCCACTGTAAACAAATGCATACTGTTCTCTCCCGTCTGGGAAACTGAGGCAGCAGGAAAGAGAGGCTGCAGAGAGAAGGCTAGCCATCGGCCCCGGGACACCCCAAGAGACTGACAAACATTGAATTCGGGGGCCCAGTCATACCCACACTCACAGGGCTCAGGGAACTCTCAGGCTCACCCAAACATGCAGACCTAACTCTGTGTCCCTCACATCCAGCGCCAGGGAGTCTGAGATTTAGACGCCCCTCCCCCATGCCCACCGTAAGCCTTCCCTCAGCCTTACCCGGGGAGGTCTGGAGAATCAGCAGGCTGAGGGCCAGCACTGCAGCTGCTTGCGATGCCATGGAGGGCGGACAGAGGCACACAGACCGTGAGACAGTGGGCGCGGGCCTGGGTCTCGGGAGGCTGAAACTCGCTGGCAGCGGGAGGGAGCGATGGGACGCGCACAGGCGGCCTTGCGGGCAGTGAGGGCTCAGGGAATGTGTGTGAAAGCCTGTGCGAAGCTGCAACTGCCTCTTATTTATGGCTCAGAACTTTCACTTTCCCTGCTCAGAAATTCCCCTCCGCTTCCATTCCGTGGAATCCCCTTTGTCCCCCTCTTTCTGACAGAACCTGACCCAGCCCCCCTTCTTCCTGCCTCAGTAGCTTCCCTGCTCTTCTGCTTTTTTTGGCTTCATCTCTGAGAATCTAAGCAGTCCGCACTCTGGCCAAGAGAAGGGACGTCGCCCTGTCAGCCAAAGATACAGGCTCTGCAGTCTCGCCTTCTTGGTGGCGTTTGCATCATGAACCATAGGGCTGGCTTTCAGAGGTGATGGTTAGGCTTGGGGCGTCAGAGTGAGGGGTTGCATCCTCTTCCCTAAGTTTATCCCTCATTTTCATTCTTGTCTCTGTGGTTCTTCTCTTCTCTCTGGTGCGGGTGGTGGTGAAGAAGTCTCTCTGGTCCTCTCAGAACAGTCACGAAGCCTGGGGTAACCTCCCTATGCTGCCCATTCGTTATCTGGGAACCAGTCCCTTCCTTGGGACAAGCGGAGTCGAAAGGGAATGTTCCTGGGGAAGAGGCCCGACACCCATCTCAGGCCTCTGGGATTCAACCTCTTGGCTCAGCCAGCGCTGCCCCTTTCTCTATTTGCCATGTTCGTACGTCCAACACCTGGGTCAGCAGAACAGCTGGAGGGAGGCTGGCCTGGAATAGCTCCCTTCGTCTTTCCCCTGCTCTCAATCCTGGGAACCAAGAGGGGATTTTTAAGGAGAGGGCTGGTCAGCTCATACTCAGACAATCCCCAAATTTCAAGGAATCGACAGATGGAGGAAGGGACAACTGATTTCCCATCCTTATGAGAAAGACCAGGACTCAAAAGGGAAATTAATATGTGGAACACCCTTTCAACCATCCCACCCAAGCTCTGGACCCTCTTTTGGATTGGGTGGTGTTTCTCTCATAAATTTCTGACTTATCTTTCTTTCCATCCATTAATAATAATAATAATAGTAATCATATTTCTTATCGTTTACTCTGTTAGACTCTGTATCAAGGACTCCACTTTACTAACTTTCCCAACAAAACTATGAAGTAATTTTTATTTATTTATTCATTTAATTAATTAATTAATTTATGAGAGAGCGTGAGAGAGAGAACATGAGTGGGGGAGAGGGACAGAGGGAGAAGCAGACTCCCTGCTCAGCAGGGAGCCCAATGTGAGATTTGATCCCAGGACCCTGGGATCATGACCTGAGCCGAAGGCAGACGCTTAACCGACTGAGCCACCCAGGCGCCCATAATTTTTATTATTAACATATTATTGTTTCTATTTTACACATAAAGAAAATGAGGTTCGGAGCCCAAGACCCTATGGCAAGTAAGTGTCTTGTACCTAGGTGTCTTTTGCTGTAAGGGTTACACTCTTTACCACTATCCCATGCTGCCTGTCTGCCAAGTGTCCATTGATCATAGAACAGTACAGATGAGTGAGACTCTACAGATAGAATGCCTTGCTTGGGATTCAAATTCCACCACTTGCTAGCTGTGTCACCATGTGCAAGTTACCCGATTCCTGTGTCTTAATACCCTTATTTATAAAGTAGGAATGGTACTAGATCTACTTCTTAGGATTAAGTGAGATAATCCGAGTAAAGTCCTTAGTTTAGAGGCTGGCACATAATAAACACTCATCAAATATTGACCATTGTTATTGTTCTATCCTTTCATTCAGATATATGTCAGTTCATCTATCAATCCATTTTTCATTGATCTATGCATCCTCCTGCTTCTGGTGGTTCTGATTATTCCCTGTTGTCCCAACCTCATCCATGCTCCCACTCTTCTGTACCCTGCTCTGTTTTCCGGAAGGCTGACCTCTCTAGACTGAATTACTCAGGATCCTTGCCCTCCAGCTTCTGTTTGAGTTTGGTCCATAGGAGGCAGCAGCAGGAGATCAGTGGGTGATAGGAGAGAGAGGTTAAGTCCCCAGATCCTTCATCTTGCTGCAGTCCTGGAAATGAATAGTTTTCTTTTTGGTAGTTGTTTTCAAAGACAGTTCTTCAGACAGCAGCAGCATCAGCATCACCTGGGAGCTTGTCAGTTTATTGATATTGGTGCCCTCACCCAGGAACTGTCTTAGCTCAGCACCTGGGAGTGATGTTAATAGTCTGTTGGGTTGGTTACTGGAAGTGTAGACTCAACAGTGGCCTTTGATCAATGAGGTTGAGATGTTAGAACCTCACTGACATATTGTAGAACAATGCTTTTGAAACTTTGATGCGCATGTGATTGACATGGGAGTCTTGTTAAACTCTAGATTCTGATTCACTAAGTCTGGGGGGAAACCCAAGATGTTGCATTTCTAACAAACTTCTAAGTGATGCTGATGCTGCTGGTTCTCAGACTATATGAGGAGCAAAGTAGAGGAAGGAGTGCAAAGTTGAGAGAGATGGGAATGTTGGAGTGTACCTGTGATGTGCAACCACTAACTGTACACCTCTGAAGGGGCCCAAAAGATGCTTCCTTCTCCAAGGCAACAAGAAAAGTATTAATGAGGGGAACGGTAGCTTCTTTGAGAAGCACTGTAGAGGCTTCTTTAGGAGGCAAGAGATGGGGATAGGAGATGCCTTCTTGGGACTGGGCAATCAAGGGGGATAATGGAATCCATGAGTGGTAGAGATCAGATATTGGCACCTAACCATGAGCAATAAGGTAAATGAGATTACTATATAAACTGTAGGGACAAGTGGTAATTTATGTGCTTTGCCCACAGGGATCTGCAGTGTTATCTAATTGATCATAGTGTTCCTAGCAATGAAATAGATGGACAGCTTACTGATGTGCTACTTGACCTGTGCAAGTGGAAACATCTAGCCCTGGTGGGCAGAAATTTGATGCAAATTGTATTGTATAGTCTTTTACCCAGTTCCTCTACTTAAGTCATTTTCCTAGACTCAAAGTCCTTTGGTCCGGTGGGAGGTGGGAGGGTGTGAGTCTCTTTCATGGGCGGATTCTAGAAATCTTTCTCCCAGTTAGCGGTTTTCCTAGTGCATCTCCAACAGCAACTGCATCACCTAAGAACTTGCCAGAAATGCAAATTATTGGGCTCTGCCCCAGCTTCGCTGGATCAGAAACTCTGCAAGTGGTCCAGCAATCTGTACCTTAACAAGCCTTTCTTGTGATTCTGATGTATGCTGAAATTTGAGAATGACTACTCCAAGCCTTCTCTACAGAGAGATCTGTAGCCATTTGCGAGGTTGAGTCTGAATGTGGAACAGGATGTACTCAGACCTTTGGGGTGTTATTAGCTACAGTCTGTCTTATGTTAATACTAGACTTGGGGACCCAAAATCCCACTGTGGTCCACCAGTCAGAGTAAGGCTTAATAGAGGTCAAGTGACAGAAGGACCTTGATCCAGATCCATCTCACAGTGGGTCTGTAATACCTGTTCACTGGTTATTTCTCTAGGTTCAGAATGTATAGTGGGAATAGGTATACTTAGTCATTATCCAAATCTTCACACTGGTTCCTTGACCATGGAGTAAGGAAAATTATGGTAGGAAGGGCCAAGTGGAACTGTGCTTGCCCTACCACATTCCCTGCTACAACAGGAAACATAAAATTAATGCTACATTCCTAGAGAAATTGCATAGATTAGAGCACCTTCAAAGACTTAAAAGATGTCATAGCCCTTGGCACTGGGCAATCTTATTTCAAGGGGAATAATGGAACCCGTGAGGGCTAATAATCTAGCACATGCCTTTTTTCCATATCAGTCAATTAAAGACCATTGAAATCGGTTTCTTTTTTCTTTTTCTTTCTTTCTTTTCTTTTCTTTTTTTTTTTTTTTTGATAGAGTGTGAGTGTACAGAGTCAGGAGAATGAGGTGGGGAGGGACAGAGGGAAAATAGAGAGAGAATCTCAAGCAGGCTCCATACCAAATGTGGAACCCCATTTGGGGATTGATCTCATGACCCTGAGATCATGACCTGAGCTAAAATCAAGAGTCAGATGCTTAGCTTACTGAGCCACCCAGGTGCCCCAGAAATCAGTTTCTTTTCTATTGGAATGACAGGTATACACTGTCACTGTCTTACCACAGGGATATATCAATGTTCCTGCTCTTTGTCATAAGATAATCTTGACATCCCACAGAATATCAACTGACGACATTATGCTTACTGCCTCTGGTGCACAAGAAATAGTAATCACACTCCTAAAGCCAATATTATACTATATGTTAACTAACTAGAATTTAAATTAAAATTTGAAGAAAAAAAGAGCAATCACCCTAAATGCCTTAGTAAGACCCATATATGCCAGAGAGAGAGAGAGAGAGAGAAAGAAATCCTACAAATATCCAGGACCCTGCCACATAGGTAAAATTTTTAGGCCATTGTGGGTGGAAAGAAGCTGAAAAATAGTGGTCTGTGGTGTGTTGCACCTTCACCATGAAGAAAGAGACACGATGCTTAAAGGAAGTTTGGATTTTGGAGGCAACATATACCATATTTAGGTGTACTGTGCAAAGTACTTATTGGCTATGACGTGAAGCTGTGGTTTTGAATGAGGCCCAGAGCGAGGAAGGGCTGGGCAGCAAGTCCAGTTTCCAGGAAAGTTGCCCTGCTCCTTGGGTGTTATGGCTCATAAATCCAATGAACTTCAGCTTTTCTGTGGCAGAAGAGGTTACTATAGGAACCCCATTGGGAGAATTACACCTTAGGGTGTTGGAGTAAGGCCACACTTCTTCTGCTAACAAGTATTTTCTTTTCTTTTCTTTTCTTTTTTTTTAAGATTTTATTTATTTATTCATAAGAGACAGAGAGAGAGGCAGAGGGAGAAGCAGGCTCCCAAGGAGCAGGGAGCCCGATGCGGGACTCGATCCCAGGACCCTGGGATCATGACCTGAGTCGAAGGCAGACGCTTAACGACTGAGCCACCCAGGCGCCCCTAACAAGTATTTTCTATTTGAAAAGCAGCTCCTGATTTGCCACTGGGCCCTGATCTAAAACTCAGACTCTAGTTCACCCAGTGACAATGTGGCCCAAGGGTGTTACCTATAGCAAATGATATAGTTGGATGTGCAGAACAGCATTCCATTGTTAAATGGTCATTGTACATATGAGTTCAGGCCTTAGAAGTTTCAGAAGGCATGAGTAAAAGCGTGGGCAGGGGGCTCAGATTCCTATTTGTATTGTTTCTTCTTCTGATCACATTCACACCTCCATGGAGAAGTTTTCTACAGTTAACAGAGGGAGAAAATGCATGGTCTTGATTTTTAGATGGATCGCTAAGGTAGACTGGCCCTGAACGACGGTGGTGAAGGGCAGTCCTTTCAGTGGGCAGAATTTCAGGCAGTACATTGAATGTCAATGTTGCCGGGAAGGAGAGACGGCCTGAGGTTTGGAGGTGGACTAATTCACCTGCAGCGGCTGCCTACAACAACCCTGCCCTCACCTTTGTAAATGGTTCCTTCACATTTTTTCCCATTAAACCTTTTTGGACATGACATTTATTTCCCACCAAGATCCTGAATGATATAAGAGTATAGTGCAAAGTGGCATAGAAGTTTCAATTAAATTTTAATACTCTCTGCCTGGAATGCCTGTTGGGAAAGATCCCAAGAATCAACAGGCAAGAATGAA